AGATGGCACCCGAGTAAAAACTCGCATTCTGCCCAACATGCCAAAGCTTTTCATACCTTCATCTGTCACCAAATTTCCACCTGAGATCACTGTCACTCCACCCACTCCCACCCTCCTTTCTCCAAAGGGCAGCATTTCAGAAGAGACCAAGCAAAAGTTAAAGGTAATAAAAGGGAAACAGTAATTTTTTAGATTGTTTTTATCTTAATTCTACCCTTAATAAAATACTTGTATGAAAGGAGCAACAGTTCCTGACCCAGTTCATAGCCACAGATAAGTAGTAGAAGATGATGCTAGCTGTTAGCAGGAGCCAGTTTTTAAGGACTGGTGAAATATTGGCCATGGGTGAAATGATAGCTGTCCTAGTCCTTATGCCTATTCTGAGGGAATTAGAAAGAATTACAAAAATGGGTGAGTGAGCTAGTGCAGCCATTGCAATTCTTAGGCTAGTAGAAGCTACCAGAATATTGACTGTGGGGAAGCCTACTGGTAAATGTTATGCTGTTTCACATTAGGATGCCGTATCTTTAATTAGAAGTCAGAGAGCTACTGAATGTGAAGGGATAGCAACCAGTGGGCTTTTATCCCTGTGATCACGGGTTTATCCTGACTATTTAGCAATATATTCTCTCTCTCTCTTTTTGGGATCAGTCTGCTATTTTGTCTGCTCAGTCTGCAGCGAATGTAAAGAAGGAGAGCCTTTGTCAGCCAGCTTTGGAAATCTTAGAGACCTCAAGCCAGGAGTCCTCACTGGAAAGTGATACTGATGAAGATGATGACTACATGGACATATGAGTGAATTTTGGCCATCATCAACACCAACCATATAATCATTCTTGCTGTCAGCATCTCTGGCAGTTGAAACATCTTCGTTGGCATTACTCTCCATTTAATTGGCATCATTGTGTTCTTCACTTTCATTACCTTTTTATCACCACTACCACTTGTATTGCCTTCAAAATCTTCGCCATTCTCCCCATCATGGTGCTTGATGGAAAGAACAATTGTTTACCAGGCAGTTAATTCATTTGGACCACACTCTCACCTCTACCTTCAGCAACACAAGGATGTTTTGTGCTGCAGTTCACATCTCTCTGCTGTTCCTGCTTCTTCAAACCAGAGCCTTGGAAGTCACTCCAGTAGCTCTTTTCTTTAGCATTTTCTTCTGTTTAATTGTCTGATTGCATTTTGCCCACTAGTTAAGTTTTTCTCCCAGTAATTCAGCAACCTGTTGTCTGTCCAGCCATGCCATGGTTAGTCCAACCGTGTAGCTCTCTTTGGAGGAGAATGGAGGAGGAAAAATTTCCTGAGCTGGTGGATGTTTTAATTGTATCAAGAAAGTCTGTGGCTTTGTTGTGAGGCCAGAAAGGTGAGCTGAGAGTCTGTCAGGTCCTTGGCACTGCTGAGTGCTTTGTTGGAATTTGACTGTGACAAATAGGCAAAGAACCATCTTTTTCCAGGCAGACAGAGAGGTTGGCCTCCTGTTTGTACTCATTTCACACCGATGTACTTGAGTGTTGGCTTAAAGAACTGATCTTTCCAGAATTGTCTTACAGTCCTTTCTCTTCTGATGCCTTGGACAAGCATTTTGAATTGGGGGCTAGATGATATTTTTATGGAGGTATTGAAAAAACTTGAAAGGTTTCAATACCATTTCAGTAGTGTCTGTTTTTTACAGAATGACACGAAAAGGTGTTTTTTATCTATCTGCAGAGGGACTGCTCACAGTTATTTATATGAGAAAATAATGGTAACAAAGATCCTTGGGGGGTTTTTTCTACTGAATGTTAACTTTGTAAAATAATGACCACAAACCATGCAAAAAAATGTCACACACTATATATACACAGGTGTGCGCCCACACACATATATATATGTGTATGTACATACATGTATGTATATGGAAAAAGAAAATGCATACAGCTTGCAATGTCGGATTTCTTTGTGTTTGGGGGAGGTGGTTTTCTGTAAAATGCAGAGCTTTGTATAAACTTTTGGTTTTTTTCTAATAAAGTTGAAATGTACTGTTGTCTCTGTTCCTCTGAGAGGGCAAGGAACCATGCTGCTGGAAAAAGTACTATTCCTCCCTTTTGTTTCATGGGTAAGAAAGTAGTGGAGGAAGGAGGTGTGGGAAGTAGAAGCCTCTTCCTTTTCTGAAGACTGCAGAGCTCTTCAAATGGGTTTGGTCTTGTGTGATCTAGAACCTGGGTCAGCCGGTGCTGCCAAGATTGCCTGCACTGGGTTCACTTCCCCAGTGAGACACGGTACGAGTTCTTTTTCACCTATGTGAGTTATCTTTGAATGCTAATGAACAATACAAGGGCAAAGACAGCATGTGGTTAATGAGATCACATAAAGTATTTGGCTCTGCAAATTAGCATTTAATCTACTGTTACAGTGATCGCTCTCATTCACTGTAAGAATGGTAAATAGAGCGTGGATTAAAAAAAAGCAGCATTACACTTTGTATTGCAAGCTTATTCTCATAGTCTGGGTTGTTTGTTCTAAACAAAATGTAACTTGTAAGCAAGTGAGCATGTCCATATGTCCATCTTGGGTGTATTAGCAACTGTACTGTAACTTGTGAGAGGTGAGCTGAATGCAGCTGATGTGGAAAAGAGCAGGTAACTGAATGGTAAAAGGAAGTGGGTATTTTCAATAGTAGTATGTTTTCAGTGTTGCGCTTTAATTTGGGGTGAGTTATAAATGCAGTGTCTAATATACTTTATATTCATTGATTGCTAATAGGCTAAGATAGCTGTCGATAATCAATCATCATCTTTATTTGTTTTAGAAGATGGCACAGGAGAAAAGAAATTGGCTTCTTACTGAGAAACAGAGCACAGCTCGGAGGATGTAGTTCTCAACGGGGCTTTTTCACCCAAGTAGAACAGACTACAAAGGCTTTTTGGCTAATGTGTATTCTTAAACGTGTGGCTAACTTTAACGTCACATTTAAATTCTCAGGTCTGTACTTCTATTTTGGTCTGATGTATGAAGACAAAGCATTTGATTTTCTTAATTGAATCTGGTCACTGAAAATGATTGTTATCCTTTATTGTTCTGAAAGATTCCTTGGCATTAAGCATTTTGCCTGGTTTTTTTGTTTTGTTTTTTTTTTATCCAGCGCTTGCTAAAATGCCTGATCTTGAGCTTTCTTTTGACTTCTGGTCCTGCTTTTTGAGAAGGATTTAAATTTTTGCTGGTTAAGGAGCAAAAACAGTAAGTGAAACTGTTCCTGTCAGTCAAGAAAGCTAAACTTTGCTGATCTGTCCTAAACTCATTTTAATCTTCAAACTATGCAACTTGTTTTATCCTATATTCAAAACTCTTTTCTTTTTTTCCTTTTTTAATCTATGTTCTTTTATTCCCATAATGCTCTTGGGTAGCTCAAGGATTTTTTTCTCAAACTCAAGAAATTACTGAGACCAGATTACACAGGTCACCTCCTTCAAATTCTGCCCTTCTGCTAATGACTAAATAGTGTGTTGCTCAGCTGTGGGCCATCTTCAACAATGGCTAAAGCAGCTGTTCTTCATATAATATATTCTTTTGTGAAAGCGTCTCTCTTTGCAGTTTGTGTAGTTCTTCAGTTCAAGAAGACATATTCTGGAGTGAAGATGCCAAGATCACTGGATGCGTCTACATACAATGTTTGTCTGAGGCACCATCTCTAAAGATACTTGGAGCAAGAACTTCGAATCCTTACAGACAGAAGTATTCATTAATTTCTCATCTTTTGAAGCCTGGCAATACAATTTTGCGGAGTTTTCAGGGGGAAAAAACACCATTATGGTAAAAGTGCAGTTAGCTATGTGTTTACTTGAAGTAATTTCCTTGATTTCAGTCTAGTCCTAGTTGCAATACTTGAAATCCAAGTATAGGCAAGGTCCAAGTTCAGCAAATCAAATGAAATGTAACATCTGCCTTCAGGATTTGCAGGATAACCATTGCTTTTGAAATCTTGGTTTTCCCAGGTTTCTTGCTCATGTGCCAGACAAATAAATGGCAGCTGCTGAAGTGTATTGCTTTTGTATTTGTTCAGTTCGGTTGGGTTTTTTCTTATGAAGTTATGGGGACAGGAACATAAGGTCTGAGGTCTGTGCCCAAGTGGGGTGAGAAGGAGGCTTTTACTTTTCCCCCATTTCCCCCCCTTTTTTTTTTTCCTCCTGTAATTGACTAAAAAGCAAGTCCTTTTTGGCTGCTGAAAAGCCAGACTGTTGGAACTTGCAGGCAAATAACAAAAAAGGTTTTGTTCCAAAGCAAATGGAAGAAGAAATTATTTTGAGTTGGGTGTTGAGAGTAATTTGTAGATAGTTGATAGACTTTCTGTGCCATTACTGGGCATCATTTTTACACATGGTGAGATATCTTACACTGATCACCATTGCTGAGGTATATAGTAGTGGGAGTAGGCTGTGCTTAATGCAGTTGCATTTCCTGGCACAAGGTTTATATAATTTATGTAATAGTTAAGACCATCAAGAATTTATGTCTCTGAGGCAAGCACTAATGTTTTACTAAGAATAAATTTTGTTGGGCTCAGCTGTCATTAGTGGCTTCTGCCCACTGTCTGCAAAATGCTGTTCATTTCCTTTCACAACCAAAACATCGCGTCAAGGAAGAAACTAAGTATCTTCCTCAGTTTTATTTCATGCTAGAGTTTGTCAGTTGTTGTCTCTGTGGTTTTTTTTGGCTTGGTTTGAGGTTTTTTTGAGAGGGTTTTTTGTTTGTTTGTTTTTTTAATTAGAATTAGGTGTCCTCATGAATAATGACATCAATGTCTTTTGCAGCCAAAATATACCATATGGTCAGGGAGCAAGTGACCAGGAAAAGATGAGGAAGGGATGGCAGCCAAAGCTGATTAAGACACAAAACGAACTGAGTGGAAACAGAGAGGCCAGGTGAGAACAGACTAAGTCTTACCATCGAGGGCAGGGTCACACCTTTGTTAAATTCAGTACTCTGGTTTTGGCGGTACTGATCCTCCAAGTGGTACTGATATTCCAAGTAAGGTGAAAGAATCCGTGGTGTACGTAGTTTATATGCACAGTGTTATCTACCAAGCAGAGACCATTTCTGTTCCTGCAGGTGCTTGTCATATTTTTTAAGGAAAAAAAGGTGGCAGGGTAAATTAGTTGAGATGCTCAGAAGAAAAGGCAGCAGGCATAGATTTTTGTCATCTCTTACTTAGTCATGCAAAGCTGGGATGAAGAAGCTTTGTTCTTGAAGGTGAAGATGATGGCAAGAGCTTCAGTGTAGGTGTTGAGTGTTAATTGCTGTCTTTCCCTTTCTTCTAGCTGATGACTAGGAATCCACTAATGTTAAGCTTTGAAGCATGCGTCAGGATTTTAGGAGTAACCTTGGGATACTGTATATAGCACAGGCTATACAAGCCCAAGTTATGCCTTTATGAGAACTCCCTGTGAGACTCTTGAGATGTTGTTGCAGAGCACAGTCCAACAGGTAGCATTGCGAAGGGTGACAGACCAGGATGTGAGGTTTGTTGGCATCTGGAGGACAACTTCACTTGAATGGCTCTTTCATATTAATACTTAACTCCAGGTAAATCTCACCAGATGTTAATGACATGTCTCCTTGAATCGTCATCTTTTGTTCTGCTGCTGTTTATCTAATGCATGTATGAGGATGACACCCCATAAGCAAGCATTTGTTAGCCAACTCCAGAGCCCCTCTTCCACACTCTTCAAAGCTGTCATATCTGCACCGAGGTTGGAGAGCTCTTTGTTCACATCATGTATCTTGCTGCCTGTGGATTTCTTTTGGCCACAGCTGACCCTTAGAGTTGGGGCCTTAGAGACTATATATGGAACGTGAATGTTTGCTTTCCCCCCCACTACCCACAGGCCACCTCTGCCAAGCACATGGGGGTCAATCCTTGCGGATTTTCTGATGCAGGCTCAGATGGCAACCTTGCAATGCTCACATGAACCAGCACAGTAGCTATGGATGTCAAGGAGCTTTTCTGTATATTATCTCAAAAACTTCTTCCATCCTGTGGATGTGTTTATCCCTAATAAAATGACATCTGTGAATAAGAAGGCGGCACGTGGTGGGTCTGGCTGGAGTGCAGTCTCAAGGCTGTGGTCACCTCTCGATATAGCCGTATGTTCGAAGTTCATCCTCTCAGTTTGAGAGCTACGCTGTCTGCTCTGATAGCACTAGAGGGGGCCCTAGGACAGAGAAGAAAAAGGGAAAATAAAAAAGCCGGGGGGAAGAAGGGTTAAAAACAACCACCACTGCAAAGCCGAGGATGGATGACCAGGACCTGTCTTTAAACTACTGAAATACTAAATTACATTGCTAGTTTTGACCTCACTTTTAAGGGCCTTCTGCTACTGTACCATAGGTCCTTTTCATAATGTATGGTCTGGTTCAAAGCAGAGGGAATGAGAATCCTCATAGTCAGTTTACAAGATTCTGGCCATGTTCCTGGCCATAGCAAAAAAACCCAAACCCACAACCTCACTGTTTCCATCCTACAATTAACAGGAGCACAGCTTCACTATATACTTGCTTTTCACATGAACTCTGTTGGCACCATAATGGTGTTTTTCCTTTATTTTTTTTTATTTCCCTATAAAAAGTCTCCTGGGTATTTTCCATTTTCTCAATATGCAGCAAATTATAATGGGGGAGAGAAAGAGCATCTTTTGGCACTTAATCTTGTGTAAAAGGACCCAAATAATGCTTTCAGCTTTGTCAGTGTAAATCCTGATTAATTCAATCCTAGTCCATCACAGTGGCATGGAGTTTGTACAAGCATTATGGGTCCAAGAATAGTGACAAAAATGTAACCCAGGGATCTGTAAAGTGTTTTGAGGTAGTTCTGTTAAAGTAAAATTCTACTTAAGGACAAAAATGTATATGAAAACGATGGAAGAAGTGTATAGCTTTCAAGCTTGGAAAAACCCCTTATATACAGTCTGCTATCTAAAGTACCCTGGAGAAAAGAACATACTGTAGTCATCTGACAGAAATGCACATGAAATGGGATGGGGAGATGGAGCTGAGGCTACAAACTGACTGCAGAATCACAACAACAAAGTAATTTCTATGAAGGGGAAAAGTAGAATCACACTTTTGTCTGCATTTGAGATTTATCTGCGCAATTAAATGATTGTGTGCATAGCTCGGTACAAAAACATTAAATTATATAATCCCAGTGGGAGGAACACTTTACAGTCTGAGTATGTTGTCTTATTAAAGGAAACTGCTTATCTAAAACCAAGTCAATGTATGTGGTGAAAAGTAGGTTTTGCCCTCAGATCAGACATGGGTATATCCATCTCAGTTTTTTTTCAGCCAGTTTTTTTCTCTCCCTTCTCTTTCAGAGACCCTGCAAACAACAGTGAATTCCAGTATAAATGGAATATAAACAAAGTTCATATATGGTATAAACATATGAGAACCGCAGTGGAATGGTATTCATATAATTTTAGTTAGAGTGATGTTATTCTAACTACAAGTGAAAGGCCATGTAACAGACAAAGGTATTTTAGACTTAATGCTTCCTGTGTTAATGCTTAATTGTTCTGTGTAACTACAGTTAGCTTAAGAACCTGTCCTACTTATTCACACTCTTTTACTCTCTGAGGTATTTGGCAGATAAATAGGACTGTTGACAAGAAATAACAAGCAATTGAGTTTTATTTGCAAATACGCATTGCATGAACCATTATCTAATACAGCACTGAACACATACTGTTCAGTAATAATTAGAAAAGGATGTGGTATGAGCAAAAAAGCTTTATTCTTTAGAAGTGTTCTTTGATTCCTTGTAATGTAAGTCACACCAGAGGTTTCATTTCCTTAAGTTACACGCTAAAATGTATGAAGAGTCACATTTTCTCTTCTAAATGCATGGGTATATATAAAATGTAATTTCTTCAATATGATTGCAGTGATAATTTTCCCCTTAAGAGATGGCATTAGATATAGTCTCAAAGAATACCGTAACTTGTTAATTGAACTGCCATATAAAACCACCATCCTATATGAATGTCAGAAAGCAGTAGTTTTGAGTGTGGAAATTTGTCACTTAGGAACGTCTAGACTGTATATTAGATTTCCATTAAGTCAAAGTGGGTTAGAAAAAAAGGTTTAGAAATTCATAGTGGAAATTATTGAGCTTACATCAATTTGCAGCACTACACCCTCAAGTAATCAGTGCAAGTTCCAACAAATCACAATGCTGCTGGGACTTTCCCAGTAGACAGCACTGCTGGAAATGCTTCCTATACTTAATAAGTAAACGGGCTTTCCTGGGAGCAAAACAAGGAGTCTGACATGTTGTCTCACAGTAAAGAGCACCGGTACAAGATGATTTTTGGCTTGGCTTTCTTGAACATAACAGCTTGGGATTGCACATCATAAACTACTGCTGCAAAAAGAAGTGCAGGAGTTTCCGCTTTATAACCTGGGTCCGTTGATCCCCTTGCTTTGCTAGTGTAAAGAAGCCTCTGAATCTGCTTGTGCAGTTAGAAGTAGGCATTAGCATCTAGGCAGGGCTGTCTGTTCACACTTTAGTTGTGAGAAGACAGACAAAGGTCTTTCTTTGGAAGCTGAATAAGACTAGTGTATGTACAGGGACATGCTTGCATGCACCCTGGTGCTTTTCGTTGTCTCTAAAGTCAATCTTCAGATGAACTGAGCAAAGACTCTCCTACAATAGCTAGTTCTTCCAGGCCTGTACTTCTCTTTGGAAGTTTTTCATTCCAAAGCAGGTTTTCTCCATGTGAGAAGGAAAATGGGAAAGCAGTGCAGTGTCAGGGTCGTTTTAATTCCTTGATGTCCTCCACTGCCTCCACCTCGGCCACAAAGATGTCCCTGTTCTGCTGGGGTGGCAGGTGCTGAGCCTGGGCTGAGCATTGCAGCCCTTCATCTGCAGGAGCAGAACACTCCCCGCGCTGAGCTCCTTGGACATGTGTATTGGCAGCTGTTAAGGGGCAGACACAAGGTCCTTTAACAACTGCACATAATTCAGATGACTTCTCTGGAAATGCTAATGTATAAGTGAACAAGTTCACTTTTAGAGACAATTGATAATTCAATTAAAATGTAAGAGTAAATAGAATGTGCTTATATGCACTCCTTGCATTTGCTTTCTTAATAAGTTGAACTTCTTGCCATTTCAATGAAACTCAAATACTTACATTACCATTCTAATGCCTGGTTTGTGTGTATGGTCACATTTCAGTAATGACAAAGCGCAGTGTAGCAACTGTCACGTTACCTAGTACTGTGAAGACAAGTAGCTGTAAAGAATATGAAAATAGGGAAATGTTATTCCCAAGTGCAGACTGTGCTGGGGAAGAGGGGGACATGAGAAGGATGATATTTCATCTAAAATACATGTCGGGTTCAAAAAGGTACCTAAATATAAGTACAAAACACTACTACTGGTGACAGTGAAGATAGCAAAGGGCATCATCAGCTCTATTTCACCCTAGCCTTACACTGTGTACAGTTTCTCTAGTGACCTAAAGTCTTTCTTCAACTAAAATTTCCATTGAAACCATGTGCTTTAAAATAAATACATTTAACTTCCTTTGTACTCATAAATGCAAAATTTCACAGTTAACCACTGAAAAATGAGAAAGGCCAAAGAAAGGTTGAAGTATCTCTGCTGGTCAGCCCAGATTAAATCTGTGGGAAACTGAGTGACTATGAAGAATAGGCTTGGGTACGATAGGGTGTACAAATAAAATGACAATGTAATGTGAGGTTTTGACAACAAATCAATCAGAAAAAGCAGGAACAGACCATAGTTTTAAAGTCGTGCTGTGTTAATTTGAGAGCAGTACTAAGGAAATCAAAATTCACCAATTAACTCTCCCTGAAGTGATGATGGCTAGGACATGTAGATGAACTTTAGGGAGCAACTGGTGTTACCCACCTAAGTTCCAGGAAGAGAGATCATAAAATGAAGTTCTGTTTGGCGATACCCGCCTTACAATGGGGCAGGGTATTAGCAATACCATTTTCTTTAACACCTTTTCTTCCCCATCCTCACTGGTTGATACTGTTCCAGCAAGGAAATCCTGGTGGTTTGCAGAATAGTAGCAGCAGAACTCGTGATAGTTACTGAATATGATGGACTAGAAGCTGGTTCGGTTTTGGTGACTTCTGTATCTGGGCTTTGTAAATATTCACTTCCCACACCTCTTTCCTAATAACACCATTGATCTATTGGTCAAAAGAACTGAATTGTGCATCAGAACTTTCCCACTAGCTGGTAAGTTTTTTAATTACCCTTTATCTTCCATTTTCTGTTCCCATAAAATGGAAGCTACATGTCCAAGCTCCCACCCCACCCCAAATGGCCACTGAATTTGAAGCAGAGATTTTTATATATCGGAAATTGTTTATCATTTTACCTTCTGATCAATTTTAGTTAAAACCATGGATTTTTTTCATTCTGAGTGAATGAATAATAATAACCTCTCAGAACAGATTCCATAGTTGAGTTGAACAAGAGCAATACAGAAAGTCACCTGAGTTTTTGTCATGATGAATAACACAGAGATTCCCTTGAGCAGAATTCTGGAGAAGACTGACTTCTCAGTTAAGTGTAGAATATGCTTAGTTTTTTTTGGAGAACCCTTGGCTCTGATTGCTGAGAAACTGGGATAATTCAGTGCAGCAAAAAAAAAGTCTTTTTTTCTAATCAGGACTTACTTGTATTTTTCAGTTTTTACCTATTCCCTAGTTGAAATTTCCTGTGTCTTGTAACCATTTAACAATATGTTACTAACCATCCATTATGTCCTGCTTTATTCTCTTTTAGATGAAAGAGCCATGTAAAAAGAGAATTCACCAACCCCTGTGACTGAATTTGAGCGATAATGTCAATGGAATTAACACATTGCCATTGTTGAATGGTCTCCTGTGGCTATATAAACATCAAGGTAACACATTTCCAAAGCAGAAGACATTACTGCTGTGGTACTGCTGTTCTGTTGTTTTGAGAGTATTTCCTTACTGATATAGATTTCCTACTGATGTAGAGCTGCCATTTTGCCTGGTGGAGGATGATGTTGGGAGAAAAAAAAAAAAAAAAAGGTTGATTTTTTTTGCTGAATTCATATTTGCTAAAGAAAATCTATTACATTGTTTGGCTAAACATGGAATGAGAGCCCAAGTACGCTAAGGTTTATTTAAGATGGCCTCATACTGGCAAATACGTTTAAATGACATCTCTCTTGAGGACCTAATTCCATTTCTGAAGAAGACCTTCTGGAAAAGCTGGGACAGAACTGCCTTCAGGAAACCCAGGGTTCTTCAGCCTGAGCAGAGTTAACTCCAGAATAATTGCCTCCCATACTAGCTTCAGCCATTAGCATAACTTTCATCTCTGAGAATAGAAATAGACTGAGGCTTAAATACCTTCAGTATGTTGCTGAGTACAATGTTAGTAAGCTGCAAGTTTCAGTTTTAACTTCGAGGCTGGCAAACAAGTTGTGAGACCAGGCTAGTCAGAAAACTTTTAACTCTGGTAATTCCATTCTAGGCTCATTGTCACCGTCTCACCTAATGCAGGAGACAAGTAGCTGATGTGGATGTTGCATAGGAACTATAATTTCTTGTGTCACAAAACCACTGACAATGGCTGCATTACAGAAGCCAGAGCTGGTCAGTTAGGACATGCAGGTAACAGTAATGATTTTGTTTATTATGAGCTTCCTTCTCCTGGTTGCAAATGGGAAAAGAACCTGTATTTCTGCAAGTATATTTTCATTTGTCTTCAGGCAAGAAAAAACTCAGGCAGTAAAGTGCTTAACCAGAACAGAACCTGATGAGTTCCCTTCCTAAATACCCCATTATGTGAATTTCGCTTCTCTCCAGTCACCTTTAATCAACTGGTCAGTGGGTTTGCTGCATTTCTATGAATCAGAGACCATAACACAGGTTTCGAAAGGTGGGAAGTCAATCTAAAGCTTGACCTCACCAGGCAAAGACAGACGTATCCCTCTCCAGAATCCATTAGACGTACCCACTGCCTCTACCAGACCTGGAAAAAAATGCAGTTTGCAGAGCTGAATTTGGCACTTTCGTGAACATTAGGGCTGAAACAAAAGAGAGGGAGGTATTGTCCATCCCCAGAACAGCCCTGGGTTGGATTCCTCAAAGATGTTTCAGTGTAGGGAATGTTCTGTTTCTGCACTACTCTTGAGTAACAAGAGGTAGAAAAGAAAGTTGTGATGGAAGGAGCGAGGAGCTGCCTATGACAGGAATTGTTAGGACATGGAAGATGACTTGGTGAATTGTGAACACTGTGCATATGTTAAACTAAGTGAGCAGTGTTTGTGTACACTGTAGTCGTTTTCAGTCCCTTGAGAGCTCTTTGAAGCTCTCTGAAAACAGAGAAGATAACAGCTACTAAACAGCTACTAAACTTTGTGCTTTAGAATGCAAGAGAAATTGCTTTTTATCCATGGATCAATCTTTTGTCAGCCCATACACAGTGGCTGATGGCTCTAGTGTATTTTCATTGTCACTAAAAGGCTTTTCTTGGAAAATGAAACCCAGTGGCTCAATAACTTGTCACCTTTCCCATGACTCTTGCTTAGGCCTAGGAGTGGGGAAGAGGAATGCTCTGCCAGGCTCAGCAACATTCAGGTTGCAGTCACACTCACACCTCACTTAGGAGTCTTTTGTGATTTATGATGTGTAGAAATGCAGGATTTTATTTTTGTAGATCCTCAGCTGGGTACAAAAGCTGATGTCAGGCCCCTGAGCCCAGCAAAAAAGATACCAATGGCAAAAGCATGCCCCCCATCTTTCATTTTTTCCCTTCTTTCTTTCTACCCTCATTTTTACAGATACTTTTCCCCCACATACCCATTTCTTTTTTTGATCTTTTGGAAGAACAGAGGATCTCCTGAACCAGTAAGAGACAGCTCTTCAGAAGAACAGGAGTTATGGAGCCCTTCTGCATTTCTGCTCTAGGGTTCTTCAGGAAACTTGTCTGCAGATGGCTCACAGTTCTAGTGCCAAAACGGTCCCCAGCCTTGTGACGGCTGCAGCTTTGGCCAACAGCAGGGGACACCAGTGACAGTGGCAGGTAGGAGAAAGTGGTCCATCTTCTGAGTCACCTAATATGCTCATAATTTTATCACCTCAGACTGTAGTAAAGTAGTTGCATATATGCTATGAGATCTAAGCATTTAGCAGGTAATCTTGTGGGGAAAATCTAGCATGATTGCTCTAGTTTATTTCCTGTTATTAGACTAGCTCTCCATCATCAAGATGCTGAACAAAAGGCAGGCATAACCACTACTAAGGGTTATTGAGGTTCAAACTTGAGCATGAAAGATTCTTTCTTTTCATGTTTCACTTGATTTCCACTCTGACTCCTTTTGGGATGATGAGTGTTTCAGCTCTGGAGCAAACTTGGGCTGCTTTGAAATGTATTGATGGACTGGTTAAGCAAATAATCTTAGAGGAACAGCAGAGCTACTGTTTCAAGAGACAAATGAGGATGAACAGAGTGGGTAGAGGGGAAAACTGTGTGCTGTGTTCATGTCCAGCATGTTCCATTGGCAGCTGCACTTTTTTGCTTCTCCTGGAAGCACTAGGTAAATTCTAGTACCAACCCTGAAGTAACAACGCTCAGTTCTGCTCTCTCCTGCTGTGCAGACACGTTCCCTCCTTGCAGCTATAGCTTCAGGCCTGGACCTTTACTCTACCTCCCCAATGCTGATGAACATCATATCTTAGACAATGCCCACTACAAGTGAGAAACTGTTGCAAAGGCTCATCCCCTTTTCCCCAGACACTTCATCCAGATTCTCCAGCTCTTAGGAGTCACTGAAGAGAGAAACAGTCTCCTTACAGATAATTAAGATCACCAATAAAGCTCTGAAGCAGTATGATCATTTAAGAGAAGCCTGGACATTTTCCTCTTCCTGAATCTGTATTGAATGTGTAGTGCTGTAATCCACAGTGTATAAGTAAACCCTGGTTACATTGCCCTGGGAAGCAATCTGTTCATATGCCCGTAGAACATACATTTTTCTTTGTGGTCCTAGAATTCATTTAGTATCTGTTTGAAGAATCATAGGAATAAGAGATAAGCAGGTATCTCAGACCCTTCTTTGCTGCTCATGTGAAGGCAAGATTGTTCTCTGCAATACCACTGGTTTGTGCAGAAATCATTTAAAAGTCTAATACGATAAGGGTTTTGCCTGTTACTTCTGTGAACAGTCTGCCATTGCACAGCTGGTACTTTTTTTTCTGGATTCTCAAATTGCTTCTATCTCATTTTCATCCCTACTAATGAAGATAATTATATCCTTTTGTAGCATATTAATTCCTCTGTCATGTGTATGTTTACACCCTGCAGACATGTTCATTTCTTCTTTGTGCACAGAACCATCAGTCAAGAAAGCTTTATTTAACAACTCTTCTAATCTTTTCTGATGTTCAATTCATCCAGTCTCCCTCCAGTTCCCCAGTAGCTTTGATAATGAGGTGATAAGAATTACATGTAGTTTTACCAGTTTGTTTTATAGCAGACTAACAAAGAAGCCCTGCCACTTTCCTGCTTAACTATATGCTATTTTTCCATATGCATCCTGTGGTTATATTTGGCTGCTTTTGTTTCCTTGTTGAAAACAAAAGCATCACACTTACTGCAGAAAATCATCTGAACTATCTCTGTATTGTGCCCTCTTTAGTATTGCCATGGTTTTTTATAGGTGGATATGGCTGAACGTTACTGTTTTCAAAAGAAAAGATTAAATTATTCTCATAAACCTAGAGATGGGGGCAAGGAACCACAGAAGTCAGCAATTCCTCCCTTGAACAACTCCTTGGCAATAAGATGTGAGGGGAGGAAAAGGAGTAGTTCCATCCTGGAGAGGAAATAAAAGACAAGTCAGAAAGACAGAATGGGGGACCATGAATGGGTTTAGATTTCAGATTTTTGCCTCAGGTTTCTGATAATCTGAACCAGTCCTCCCGAAGTGCTGTCATAGCTTCTTTACCCTGTCCTGGAGAGCACAAGTGCTCTTTACATCTGGTAGGCAGGCTCCCTCTGGTCCATGAGCAGTTACTTGAAAATGAAGTACAATACTAGCAACTTCTCTAAAGCCGTAAGTGCCTACAGGGATGCAAGCAGGTTTGATGCCATTGTCTGGTCCTCCTGACTGCTTGTGTTGTCTTTGGCCCCAGATAATTTTGCACTTTGTGCACAAATACCAAGCCAGGTTCCATGTGGTGCTGACCAGCATGGATGCGTGCACCTTACCCTGGAGCACTGTAGCTGCCTTTACATTTCTAGAAGAGATTTTTGTGGCCATGACAGCCTATCACAATTCCAAGGTGACCGTTTAAGTTAATTTAAATTAGAATACATACACAATTAGTGTAATTGATTATTTTTCTTACTTTAGACATAATAAAACCCCCTAGAATTTTGCTACAGCTTTGTCCAGTAGAAGCCTTTGAAACCTCAGATCATTGTAGTGGGATATTCCCCAGAGTACAGTGAGTATTCTCAACCTTTATTCTTTTGAGATTGCTTCAGGTTAGCTCTTGATCACCCAGAATTCATATGTCAGGAACATTGTGAAGAGGCAGGAAAATTAAATGCTGAATTGTCCTGTCATAAGCAGTCCTTAACAAGTATATGTGAAATATATCTAAAGACTTTCTTGATCTTAGCTTGCTGCCTGTTTTTCTCTCCTAATAAATCTTTAACCCAGTCTCCCAATTTCAGCCCAACTGGGCAGAAGTACAGAAGTCACACAGATGAGTTAGGTCCTATGGGTTTCCTGAAAATGCTCTGTCTGAGGGAATGGCTGCAATGTGAGTTAAGATAATAGTAGACAACAGAGAATCCAAACAGGAAATCTCCTTTTTAAATGCCTTAATTGTGAGAAAAGCGTCAGTGAGAGCTCAGGATGGGCCACAGGTGTATGTTGTAGTAAATGCACAAGTGTGAGGGTTCCTTGTGCCCTGTGATAATCTGGCTGGGTTAGTTTTTTTACTTTGTATTAAGAGGAAGAAACTGAGCAGCACCAAGCAGTGAAGCAAGATCGCAGTGAGGAGTGCTGTGAGCTCCCTGGTGGTGAGTCCAGGCCTGCATTGCACGTAGACTTAACTCTCACCGAATCCTACCCCAACAGTAGCTCCCTGCAGAAGCTTAAACCATTAACTACAGGATTAGAGGGTGGCAAAAGCAGTGACTTCATTATTGATAACCATCGAAGCTGTGCTCAGAAGGAATGCTTGCTCTCAGATGTGACTTGGATTTCCTCCTGCACACTCCCCTGCACCCTTAGCAGAATTTAAATATCTCTGTTGAATTTACATTGTATTGTTGTTTGTATCTGCGTTTGGTTGGCAGGCATAGCTTAGGTTGTAAAGTACCAGTCATTTAAAACAGTTTTGCCATCACAAAAGCAAAGACTGTGTTTTTAAGAATGGTACCTATTCTGTGAATGACCACTAGGTGAGAGAGGAGAAGAAATCAAAGTCTTCTGTGCCTAAGTAGATGAAATCCAGTATTTTAAGTATAATGCAGTCATTGCATACCTCTGTTGTCCTCAGTCCCTGTGGAACTGCCTGTATAACTGTTCAGATACCTCGAAACTGTGTGTCCTCCCTTGGTTTCTTAAGGAGTTGCAACTGATTTATTTAAATTATTCAAGTGCTTGATGTTCTTAACAACTTAGAAGCATTTGTCCACTGTAGTAGGGCTAATTTTTAATTTATTTTTCTAAACACATCTATCCAAAATGATGGTGGGCTTTTATATTCACAGCAGGGAGCATTGTGAGGTTTAAATATCCCTTTAATCACTAAGGATGTAATAAAAACAAGAAGAGTTCTTTGAGCTGCAGAGTGTTACCCAGGGAAAAATCTACTCTTGAGCTTACAAATGTGGGTTGAAGAGACAAACTGGGCAATAAAATCCACAACTATGGACCAAACCGGCTAAAAGTTGGTCTGTAGCTGCCCATCAGGAGTTGAGACTTGGAGGGGGGAAAAGGCCATTCAGCACCTCTACAGCCATAAGAGCCAGGCCATAAACATTTCACTGGGTAGGGGGAGGGAGCCGTGGGTCTGTGATCCTGCCTGGAGCTTGTACCCTGGCCTGTGACTGCAACAAAGAATGAGTATGAGTAATTTGCCTGTATAAGAAGAATGGGGAGGTAAAAAATCTGGGCAGATTAGGGATTACAGGGAAAAGTGGTGGCTGTGACTGATGATGTCAGTTCACGTACATTTGCATATGAGTGTATGCACATGTGTATAAATATCGAAGTACTTCTGTATGGATGTTAAAGCAGAGCTATTTGCTGCCTGTTTTCTAAGGCAGGTCCTTTATGGCTCCTGCTGGAGAACGGTGGGTTCTGGCAGGGTTGCTGTCTCCCCAGGTGCGGGGAGGAAGAGAGCCTTCCCCGTGCAGGAGAGGAAAGGCAGAGCTTACTTACACGGTGCTGCTTGGTGGCCCTTTCCTGTGCTGTGTGGCTCTTGCTACTGTAAAGTCCTTTCAGTATGTATTTTTTGTGGATTTGAGTGGGACGGTGCTGAGCCCTGTCTGGGAAACACAATGAGCTGACAGGAAAGCAGTGCACCTAACATCAGGAGTCTGTGAAAACTTGAAAGAGCTCTAGACAGAAATATTTTGCATTTGACTCTGGACTGTGGCCTTTGAGGCCAAACTCAGTCTTTAGTGTTAAGTGGCTGCTAAGTATTTCCCTTCTTGTCCTAATGCTAACTGACTGCTGGGAGAAGGGTGCATATTCCAGCAGGGCTGCGGGAAGGCGGATATGATAAAGGGGAAGACAGAAGAGCGTCCTCTTTAGTTCAGGAGCACGGCTTTGTGGCCAGATACTTCAATCCACAAGAGGAAAAGCCTTGTGTTAATCTCATAATGTACAACTTTCCATTTACATGAGCCACTTTCACACATTCCCTTCCAGAACAGACCCCTCGCTGCCGAAATGCAGCTCCTTGGAGTGGGCAGAGGCATGCGGCTGGTCCCCACAGCACAGTGTGCCTGGGTCCAGGGATCCTGTGGTGAATTAGCGTTGAGCTGCTACCAAGAGGCCCTCTCCAACCGTTTTGTTTTGCCAAATGTGATTTTTGCTTTTTGAGAGCACAGGGCAGATTTGAGGGTGATACAATTTGGGGCTCAGCATGGGGTTTTCATCCCTACTGAGGTCTGCCTTCTGCGTGTTCCCAGGGTAGGAACATCTGCACGGCAGTGCACATGGAACATGCCTGAAGACACCAGACAACTTTTCCCAGATTAAAAGCTATCAAATCCAGCCATAAAGAGAAGGGAAAAGGTGCCATTTCCCACCATCAGAAGAAAATGCTATGTTGTGTGAGCTGCTGTAAGGAACTGGGTAGGAACTGTTCCTTATGCAATCGCATGATGGGAAATTGCATGTACTACTGCTTCTTCAGAGGATCTCAAAACACTCTGTAGGCTTTTATCATTCCTGTAGTCACCCATAGAGACTTACTCATAAAGCTGCTCAAATTCAGGCTGTGCCCATGCTGCCAGAGCTTAGCTACTCCACTCCCTTGGTCAGCTCCATGCTGTCTGAGGAGCTGCACTTTGATTTCCTTTTCTTCTGTATGAGATGTTGGTCACTTACAAGCAGTCACATGCTTCAAGGCTGACATGGGCCTAGGAGCAATAGTTTCATCAGGCCTTTTCTCTGGAAAACATGGCTTTTCCCCATGGCCCTGTGTGTGTAATCAGGCCCCATTTACTCTGCAGCAAGCTGACACTGTATTTAAGGGGCAGGTTGGTGGATTCTGCAGCCTTATGGAGAGTTTGAGGTTGCTTCATGTTTTTAAGTATGAAAGTAAGTAGCTATAGTGTAGGGCTATCGACTTTGTTTTGGTCTGTTAATGACATGCTGTCTTTCCACATTTTCAGTATTTGTCATGTTGCAGATGGCAGAGTATCCTTCATAAAGAGTTGCTAGGATGCTCTGGGACCATGGCCTATGTGTGCCAGGTGGGAATCTGCTAAATGAGTTACTTTTAAATGGCAGTAAGCCTATCCTCATGTTTGGAGGGGAGTTTATCTTCAGTGCAGTTTGCACTTCTCCACGTTACTTTCTCTTCCTTTTGCAAACTCAGGTGAACAACACTGCTTCACTTAATTATAGTTTTATTAAAGCTGACACAGAAATGCTTCCTCACAACCCTGTGCTCAGAGGGAAGCTGCAGGGGCTGGATTACTGGCTACTGCACCAAGTGCTGGTATACATGAGCAATAATCCAAGACTGTTTCTTTCCAAAGACTATTCTTGCATTTCAGCAGTCTCCCAATAGCTTCATGCCTCACACCTGAGCTTGCTCTCAGGCAGAATGTCCTGGAATTGTCCTGGAATTTCTGCTGGACAGAGATGGTGGGACATCCTGCGCAGCCGCTTGCAGACTCAGATTCTGAGCCTCCTGCAAGCTGACACGTTATCTGTTCTGGGTCTGAGAGCCCCAGACACCAGCCAGAGATGGTGAGATCATCACCCAGAGCTAGGAGGATATGCACAGATCAGTACCCTATAGGGTCCCGTTGAGTGTTAAGGGTTAAAGCTTCCCTTAAGGTGAGAAAAGTGCCAGAAAACATTTGCCTTACTACGAAACCCAGAGGGGAATGTTTCTTTCCAATCACCTCCTCAAAGAGATGCAAAGCAAAACTTCGTGGCCTCTGCTTTTGTCATCGCACATCCCCTCCCTTCTGCGCTGCCCTACTTCATCCCTTTCAGCGCAGGGGGAGAGCCTACAGTTAGAGCTAGGCACAGCAGGATTTTTACCTGCTGCTGTAAATGAGCTTGGAGCAGACCTGTGTATGTCACTGACTTACACATGTCAGATCCACTATCTCTCCCATCCCTTTCCACACCCCCAGCCTCCAATTTGCCAGTGAATTGTTAGACACCAGCACATTCACCTCTGGCTTCCCGGCAAACTGCCTGAGGGCACTCCATGGACAGAGTAATGTGCTAAATTCCCCCTTTGCTAGTGATTAATTTAGTGATTAATTTCCTGGGGATTGCTTCTGTTAGCCACGCTTTCCAGTAGTAGTAACAAATTCACTTTTTTTTTTGTCCCCACTTTTAAAACCTTTCCAGTGCAACTGGAATGGCTGGGAGAAAGCTAGTTGTTAACTGGTCATGGGTAATTAATGACTCCACCTTCCCCATCAATCAGCTGGGGAAAGCCAAAAGGATTTGAGTACTTGTAGCAAATGTGTGTTCTCTAGACATGCTGATAGGCAGTGTGCAAATGAAGTGGCAGCAGGAGACCATCTCATACCTCTTCCTGGAAGAAGCAGTATGTCATGATACACATCCCACGCTCTTGTCAGGTGGAGAGTCTGAAATTGCCAGTGCTGCTGCTGTTGTGCAGTTTCTAACTGTGTGGGATGTTGATCCATCGCTGCTAGCGTGAATCTGACCCAATTTTTGTTCTATTTTTTCTTCTCAGATTCTGATCATGGTTGTCTTTTTGACATTCTGAAATTAAAATACTAGCATTAGAGAAGCAGGACATGGTGGGGGGCAGATTTGATGCTGGCTTTCCCTTTGTGACAGAGCAGAAAAGCATTTCTGCATCCTGTTTTGTTTTTGTTTGGTAGTAGCAGTGCAAGTACAAGCAGAGGAGATTTGACCTTTATACTGTGTTCAGCTCACCTTTTCCTTTCCTATTTACATTTCCACAATGTAATAAATTATCTCCAGTTGAGCTATAAGTTGATGTTCTTCCAACACATGATAGTTCTCTCCTCAGTGGTACTGAGGCTCCTTAGCTCTGGATGACCCTAAGTTAGCTGAAAGAGAAGAGCCTGTGGTCTTCTGTATTACCCAGTAGTTTTAAAGGGATGTCGGGGAGGGTGGATGTGGTTCTTCACAGGTGCCAGGAGCCGATGGACCATCTCCTGCTATAAAATCCTCCTCAGGACTTCTGAAAATCTCTAACCTATTTTTTTTTTACGTGTTCTTCCTTGTCATCCTAAGCACTGGCTTTTCCCTCTCTGCTTGTACTGGGATGCCTGGAATTCAGCATACTGCTGAAAGAGAGCCAGTCCCTCTTCTGATTGAACTCCTTTGTTCTCTTTGCACGTCCTTGCATTGCCTGCTCCAAAAGGCAGTAAAAACAGAACGAAAGGGATGTTGTTTGGGTATAGGATCTGACTAAATAAATTCAGAGTATGTTTTACATGTCACTGACAAAAAATGTTTATTGGAAGCAAAACTAGAGGGAATCAGCTGCAGCTTTACAGTAAGCTCCTAAATTTGCTGTGCAGGATCCAACACTGGCCCATTGAGACTGATATCCTGCTTTTGACTGCCAGCTTTTGAACATCATCCACCTGTAAATGTTAGTATAGCCATTTCTGTATGTGAATGCATAGAACATGGTCTTAACCCAGGTGTAGTGGCTGTTTTGTGCCCTGAAGCAGGAGACTTGATTGCTGTCTCTTAGCACTTGTAAGCACTTATAAGTACAAAAGCTAATGGTCACACTTACAGAATAAACTAATTAAGGGAAAACGTTCAAGTCCTTCAGTTTCTGCTCAGCCTTCCTTCAGTAAGAGCAACACCTTGAACAAGGCCTAAAACCAGTGCCTGGCCCACTGTGAGACTTTTGAATCGTGCATTAGCCCTGAAAGGTGCCAGCCGGAGGAGTTGGGTGCCAGGAAAATGATACCCTAGCAGGGCTGAGCTGAGAAGTTACTGCATATAGAGCAGCCTCAGTCCTGAGCTTCAGAACAGATGTGGTGCAGTGCCCTGCTGTAGGAAAACAGTGCAGTAGGAAAATCAACCGTGCAGTCAGGGGCTGTGAATGCAGACTGGGTAGGTAAGTAATGTTGTATCATCAAACGTGTTTGTGTTAGTGGAGAAGGCATCTGTTGGTGAGTGAAGGCGTTGCTGCAGCATCCTAGTTGTGAGAGCAAACTTTACCACAGACTTAATCACCCACTTGGGAAGGAACAAGCTCAATACAGTCCTGATTCTGATACCAGAAATCAAGAGTTATTCTGTGCTTTGGCAATGAAATTTATATTAAATCCATGGACTAGCCAGAAGGAATTTTTTTCCTGCTTGCTGCTTAAGGGATAGATTTTTTTTTTCATTTTGTAGGTAAGTCTTCAACTGATGGTTTTGGTCTTGTCTCTATTTGTTTAAAAGTGCGTTAGCAGTAAATCAAAGTGCATTTCCCCTGTAGGGTTTCCTGTATGTCAAAGCCATGTTAATTCTCTTTGATTTTCTTCCCTTAGCCCCAGCCATTGCTGCAGATCCTTCCTCTCTTTGTCCCTTTGGACATCAAAGGATCGCAAGGGGACAGCCCTGGCCAGAAGCTCCTCCCTGCTCATTAGCCTCCATAAAACAGGAACTCACCTTGGCTGGCTGTGCTTGGAGTCCCATCCTCATCCTGGTCACTCTTGACACTGGATCTCAGAAGGAAGGGCTTTTGCTTATTTCAGGAAGTCAGACCTGCTTTTGAACTGGACTATTTTGGCACCCCTTGTAAGAACTTTGCTGTCTCTCCTGGCCGTGCAAGCTCCTAGACTCCACAGTACATGGCAAAATGCAAGCTTTACCAGGTAAGTAAAGGACTCCCTCCTTTTTCTTATTATGTGGAAAGGTCCTAGGCTTACGCCAAGTGTGCACAGTCATTTTAGAGAGAGAACAAGTGCTCCTGAAGCAATACCAGCATTTATAGTAGTGTGTGTGGCTGGAGAGGATTTATAAAATGGGTGGTTTTGGTAGGAATGGATGAGAAATTGTGGGTTTGAGAGTTATTTGTGAGCTTTGAAAGACCTTTCAGAAGGTAGGGAAGGTTTACTCACAGTTGTGCCCAAAACTCACTTGTCTGTGTCACAGTGATTGTTCACTGAAGGTTAGAGGTGTTACCTGTATGTTGTCTGCAAAGTACTTTGAGTTCCTTCAAGTTGAAGGCCACAGAAGGTTTGGAAATACTTGTTATAGTGCAAGTAATGGTTCTGATGCAAACTATTTGCTTTTTCTTTTGTTTTTTCTCTGCACTTTGAAAGCAGGCATACCCCCCCTCTGCCAGGTTCATGCCCAAACACAGGATTTTCCCGATTTCCTTAGGGTTTTCTTTATGTTTTTCTTCATCAGTCCATTTCATAACATGCTGTTAACCTCTTCTGTGTGTGGCATGATCAGACTGGCCGCAGTAACGGATAGGCATTGGAAAACCTAGATTGTATGCGTATGTTAGAGTTGGCTGGCTGTTCCCAACTTCATTTCTCTACATCTGCAAGATATTGTGTCAGTCCTAAGCAAAACGCATCAGATAATTTCCATCGTTACTGTTGTTTTGGGTTTTTATAAAGCAGTCCACACTGTGTTGATCCGATTCCTAATGATTCCTGCCACTTCAAAAGAATTTTGAGTTGAAAAGCAAATAAGCAACAACGAAAAATATAAACTGTATTATGGTATTTTACCCTGTTAAAGATTGCAACTATCGCAGAAGTCTCCTCATTTTCTTACTGAGTTGTTTCTGGTGTAAGACCCCATAAGGCAGAAATATTCAAGGTGATGACTGGGTGCATTTGAGAGGTGAAACTATTGTATTCGTAGAAGCACCATACTTTGGTTACTGCCAAAATGCTTTCTGAGAAATGAGGTTCCCTCCAGAGGGTTGGGGTGTCTTTATTTATAAGATGAGAGAACATGGCGTGTTTTTTTGGTTGTTGGCGAGATTAGTTTCTCAGCTAGCTTTATATATTGATGTGCAGTTCTTCCCTGTGGACACTGCATAGCTGTCAGTGACTTGCTCACTCAGAAGATAACAGCAACAAATGTAATAATAACTGGTTTTAGTGAAGGTAAGCAGCATACCTTTTGTCTTGTTGGAGTTTTCCCACTATTGCAAACCCCAACCCATATAGTTTTGGTAGGCTGCAACAAATTTTCTGATGTAACATTGTCCCAGTTATTGACAATTAACTGAGGGGCTGCTTTAGGTGAGTGGATTATACTCCAGCGTCTCCTATCCAAAGATCTTATTCCCCCTGCAAGCATTACCGAATTGTCTCTCATTTCTTTTTCTTTTCACCTCCAAGACAGGAAAGAGATATGCACAGCCTAGATGCAGAAACTGAAGGACAAGCTGCTCATATTTGCATAAGGACTTAAAATTAAGCATGGAAGACATTAAAGATCACTTAATTTTCAGTGTCTTTGTTACAGCAGCAGTCTTCTTTTTCAACCTCATCTTGGCATAAGGAATATGTTTTAAAGTGTGCCACATGCAGTGACACCACAATTATAATAATAATACTTTTAAAATAGATCTGAAATTCTTGCAAAATATTTAAATCTCTTTCAAATAGTACTTAAAATAAAAGCTGAGTTACAGAGAAGAGGAAACAATAAAAGTACAGCTTTAACAAGTTCGGTTCAGTGCTTGGACACCCTGCCACAAACCTTTTTTGCTGTAATTCCAACATAGAGGCATCATTGTGGGGGAGATGTGTGTGTGAGTCTTGCCATTAGTTACATAGGCACAAAGTAGGAGTGAATTTGAAGTGCCTTGCAAGCCAGCCTCTGGCTGTGCAAAGAAAATCCAGAGTGGATCCTACAAATGGATCTGTCGGTGCAGAATCCTGCTGAAGCCAATTGCACATGAGTGTGTAGCCAGCTGTGTGGATCCATTAGCAAGCTCACACCACTGCTGGGGTCCAGATCCCATGCAAACTGTTAATGTCCTGTTTTTCAGCCTCAGACTGCACACAAAACCTGAAAGGCAGAAGACATTAACTGCATTTCAGGATCTTTGTTGCAGTGTTTATTGTACGCGCAGCTCTTTTGCCCTGCCTGCTGTAGTATTTCACTCATACAGGTGAATTGTGGATTCATTCTGGTAAAAAAAAAACAGATTATAACATCTGCCTTTTGATTTTTTATTCAGTATTGAACTCCTTTCACTTCAATTCCCCTTGAGTTCATCGAAAGTCTCCCCTCAATAAGGACTCATTTAATGGCACTGGAATTTGCTTACAAAAACTTAATGCTGCAATTCATCTGGGGAAGGAGCGAGCATCTGTCTAGCTAAGCAAAATCTGTTTGCATGTATCTGTGACTGGATGACTCCTGTGGGAAATCAGCCCAATTTTATTGTAACTCCTTTTGATACATGTGCTGCATTGAGCTACTGAATGCATCGTCTCATGGCAGCTTTCATGTCTTTGCAAGAGGATATGGGGGAAGCTTTAGTAAGAAGATGTTAACAAGCTAATCTTGGTGAGCAAACTAGGTGTCACTTCTTAGCCAGTTCATTAATGTTGGATCAAAGCAGAAAAAAGGGTAGAGGATATATTTTTTTTTAAATGCCTAAAGACCTTTACAAACTGACAAAATTACATTTAAATGGTTTTGTTGTTTTTTTTTTTAACTTCTTAAATACTTTTTTTTACTTCTGAAAGAACCCCTTAGACTCACACTGGGTTGTTTTTGTGGAAAGATACTGCTTCCTGAACAAAAGCTGATTTCTCTGGAAAGAGTTGTCTACTTTTCATGCTTGTTCTTTTGAAGATGTTGCTCAGAAAAGCTGTAACAAGGTGAAAATTCCCTTATTTCTGTTATGTTCTGAATAAGATCTCGTCAGGCTGAGAGGCAGAAAAGTGTCTCTCTTTTACACAAATAGCGGTGCACGGCTTTTAACACCTCACCCAGCATAAGTGGCCTGCTGGCACTGCAGTGAGCACAGCACTGCTGCTCTGAGCGTCCCTGTGTCCAGCAGGCTTATCAGTACGTGGCTGGGACCGCAGGGCAGTGTTTGTGAAGCCCTGCTGGGTATGAAATCAAACCATCAGTGGCTATACCAGGTCATGTTTTCACCTAAAATTAAACCGTGGCAGCAGCAATCTTGTGTGTGTTACAATACAGTTAAGAATGCCTATAGGAGGTTTTAGATCCAAACAGCTTTAGAGAGGTGGTAGGTGCCACCAGCACCAAAATGTTCCTCCAGAATAGTTTCCCTTCCTCTTTCCAAGGATCATAGTCCTCTGCCTGAAATAGAAAGTGCAGGCATATTGCAGGCAGCACTTCTGAAGTGCCGTGATGTGTTACTGAAGAGGCACCTTCCACCAATGTCACAGGCTCCTCAGTGGTCTCCATCTCCAAGTCCAGCTCAGACCAGCCTTCCTCTTTTCAGAATGTTCCATGGTCTGGCTCTGTCACCTCCCTCTCTCCTTGCCCTCACTTAGATTCCGGTCTCCTGTCTCTCCCTTCTTTGTCCTCTGGAGAGATTTTTCACCTCTGCTACCACCTACCTGTCATTTTCTCCCATTACCCACCGGTACACTTAAAATCTTCAATCCTTTCATCATTCGTTCTGTTCTCTTGGTTAAGTGTTTTGTGGAGCCCTGATCAGGAATGAAAGTGGATTATGGCTGCCTGCCAGTGTGAGTTTTGGAACAAAGTAAAGTCAGGTTGAGTTTGTGCAACACATAAATCTTTACAAAATAATTTATCAGCTAAACCCAAACCTGCTGGAGAAGCCTTTTTGCCTTCTGAGCCTGCTAAATAACAAAAAAGCTTAGATAAAACATAATGGCTTTTCTGTAAGAGGTTCGTTGTGGTGCAGGCTCTCTACTTCTTTGCAGCACCTGGAATCTTCATGGGTAAAATCATGGCATTCAGCTCCCTGAGCTGAACCGGTGTGGTGCACTGCACAGTAGTTTGGGGCTGAGATGTACTGCGGCCAGACAGGAAGAGTGATGGACAGATGCACAGACCCCATCTTACAACAGTGTGTGAAATTCAGGGAGCTGGCACTGGGGGATACTGGGAGGGCTGATGTGGGTGTTGTGTCTCAGGGCCCTGGCCCTGAGCAGAAGCTGTTTCGTGTCATCTTTCCTTCTGCCCATCTGAAGTTACTGTTTTCTCCCTCTCTTGGTAGACATGAAAGTGCCATGTGAGGCCCTTCCTTCCCCCAGCCTGGAGCACTACCCACAGAGCTCCATTGTGGTCACCCTTGAGGACATGGATCTCTGGATGAAGTTTCATCAGATAGGAACTGAGATGATCATCACCAAATCGGGCAGGTGAGGGGAGCAGGACAGCTGTCCACACCACAGCTCTGCAGGCTGTTGTCAAAATCTCATGTTTGGAATGGTAGCCCTTTGACTAGTTTTGTAGCTAACCGTGCACATCTCCCTGGCCCTGACAGAGGATTTGTGCTTTCAAGGATGTCCTAGAAGTCCAAACTGTGAAGTGCAAAAGGTCCCTGTGTGGCTGATGTGCTGAGAAAACTGTACTCTTATCTCGCCACTTAACACTGATGTTCTTCCTGTCCCTAGACGGTTGCTCAGGATGGTGCCCTGGGCTTCTTTTGCCTCAGTCACAGGCAGCAGGAGTTGGGCAGTAAATACCTGCGTTTGAGGCTGCATTTGCAGACAAGAACATGGTGTAGAATAGTAATGATCTGTGCGTGCAGACTCGTCTGAAATTCAAATGAGTCATGCATTGTGGAGCTTGCAGTGAAAGAATACGAAGTTGTGAGATTGTAATGTAGTATGTCAAAGCTGCTGTGAGCTAAAATAATCCCTTTGGATAGGAAGGTAGGTGTCAAAGCTTTTTTGCAGAGTCAGAAGATGAAAGTGGTGGCAGGGAGTACTGGAACAGAAAGCTAGATGTGCTCTTATATGAGAGCACGTTTTCTACCCATGCTAGAAAATGCTCTAATCTATCCTCCAGGTCTGATAGCTGCAGAAGGCTCGGAACTAGGTGCAAATTCCCAATATTTTCTTTTAAGTTTCCCACTGTTGTGTTATAGGAATCAGAAGAACAAAAGCAGCGACAGTGTCAGGCCTTCAGTGACTGCTGCCCTGTTAGTGCCTATTCTACCTAAACCCATAGGACTAGATAGAAAAATGTTCAGTAGGTGGCCTGTAGAATTATGGCTGCCAGAACTTTGCACAGTAGTGAGTAAACATGACATGCTTCTTGATCATGAGACAGTAGCCACTTTATAGAGAAATCCTTATACTGTTCATTTCATTTCTCCTTCAGACGAATGTTTCCACAATGCAAAATCAAAGTCTCTGGCTTAATCCCTTATGCCAAGTACCTCATGCTGGTAGATTTTGTGCCAATGGACAACTTCAGGTACAAGGTGAGTGCTTTGAATAATAGAATTTATGCTGTCCTTCCATCTTTGTTAGAAGTAGATTAATCTTTATGCTTCACTGGGCAGGCTGATACATAAATTGTCTTTGGACAAAGTGCAGAAGTAATTGGTGGATCTTATCCCTCTCTTGAGTTTGTTTGTCAGTTTTGCTGGGGGAGCAGCTGGAAAGGTAACTGATTTTCACTCTAAGTGGTACAATTTTAATCATGATTAATATCAGACTTCTCTGGCAGCTGCTGGGACAAAGGGAGGAAGAATGAGGCCTAAAATGGGAGCTCTTTTGTTAACAGGATCATAGTTCTTAAAAGAGAATCTGCTACTTGTGCTTCAGAGGAGGCCACTAAATTGACAGTGAAGCAAAGTTGCTGGGGTTTCCCTGTAATGAAAGTAGGTTTTTGTTTTAAGCTCTAGATTTCTGTTTTTTCCTTCACAGTGGAATAAAGATCAGTGGGAAGTTGCTGGAAAAGCAGAGCCCCAGCTCCCTTGTCGCACCTATGTCCATCCAGATTCCCCAGCTCCTGGCAGCCACTGGATGAAAGAACCTGTCTCCTTCCAAAAACTGAAGCTCACCAACAACACTCTGGATCAACATGGGCACGTAGGTTGTAGCTGGGCTGTGTGTTATGCTGTCTTGGAATTCATTACAGATGGATGTTACAGGGCATAAGTGAGATTTGTGAGAAATTAGATCATGTGGAAATCTAAATATATTCAAGTGCCCTTGTGCCCTCATAACTACCTGTTAGGGAAGGCTTTAGTCTGTACTGTTACTGTGCTGTAAAGGCATGGTAGAGACACTAATCACAGGCAGGCATCCCTGGTTTGAAATGAATGTCTTGGGAGCCCCCACAGAAGACTTTGCGCAGTGTGTTGACAGTGATTGCACATGGAAACTTTCTCCTGTGTCTCCAGATCATCCTGCATTCCATGCACCGTTACAAGCCTCGCTTCCACATTGTGCAGGCAGATGACCTCTTCAGTGTCCGCTGGAGCATCTTCCAGGTCTTCAGCTTCCCTGAGACTGTCTTCACTTCTGTTACTGCCTACCAGAATGAGCAGGTACAGTGTGCAAGTACTGCTTTTGGCCAAGTTGCTAAATACTATCCTTAGAAATCTTGTAGAGGGGAGGTGTCTCTTTCCAAGCTACTCACCCTGGGTGGCTACAATGGACAGTGGGAAGAAACAGGCACATTATGGTTCCTGTGGAAAACATCTATTCTGTGATGAGATGAATCATGCACCTTAATTAAGTATTAAGTGTGCTGTCAGGGAGTAACAGAACTCTAAATGAAATAAAAAGTATGGGCAAAAGTCCAGATACAGATACTCACCCTATACATTTCTCTAGTCAGGTGAATCCCACCCAAATTCCTGCCAGCCTGGCAAAAAGTCATTTGTCTCTGTATGTCAGTTCCTAACAAATAATGGGAGCTGCTGGGAGAGCTCAGGTACTGTGGCAAGGGCCCTCAGACAAGCTCTTGTGACAGATAATGATGTAAAGGTCTTGAAACAGTAAATAACCCAACCAGTCACCATGAAACCGAATCTTGTTCCTTTTATTTTAAGATTACAAAGCTCAAGATTGACAACAACCCATTTGCTAAAGGTTTCCGTGAGCATGGGAAGAACACACGAAGGTAAACTGTTTTTTCTTCTTTATAACCGGTCTTCATTCGTGAATTTTACCCAAGACCTTTGAGCAAACTAGATCACCTATCTCTGCAGAGCCTGCTGGGTTGTGCACACTGCGCTTGCCTGTATCTGGGAACGATGTCCTCCTGTGCAGCCTCCTCCCAAGAGACTTAGGGTGTGGGAGAAGATGCAGGATTTCCTACAGAAATGTGGGAGGTGTGACAAATATATGAGACCTGCATTCCCTTGCAAATTGGAGCGAGGCTGGAGTCTGACATGTGAATGGCAGTGATAACAGGAGTCCACAACAGATCACTAAGTCTGTTTAAGATCAGCTTGATTCTGATATTTGGAGGTCCCTCATCTTTCCATATGTGTGGAAAAGTGTCTCTTCCAACAGGAGCTTTTCTCTGTAAGAGGGAAAATGGGTACCAGTATCAGTGAGATCTTCTGTCTTGTCTGAGGGCAGCCAGTGGATGAGAAAAAAAAAAGCTTAAATGCAACCATAGATTGGCAATAGAGAAGGAAAAAACTGTTTTTTTTCCAAGCAGAAAATGTTACAAAAATATCTTAGGTTCTGGTTTGTATTACTTTATGCCTGAAAAATATCTCATTTCCTGGTGAAAAAGGCCAAAACTGAGTCTTTTTTACTTAAATTTTGAAAATGTCATGGAGTTTTTTCCTCCTCTAATAGGATCATTTCTGACTAAGCTTAGACTCATTTTACAGTTAGGAAAAAGCTGCTTTCAAGCAGAAGACCCACCCTACTTTACTTGTACCTATGTGTATAGCATGTATATCCAGCATCGGACTATAATTCCAAACAGTGCCAAAACCTCTGGTGCTGATTTTCCATGTTGATTGTGCCTTTTGTACAAACATGAAGCAGGGAGCTCCTTCACCAGTGTATCCCCAGAATTCTGCAGGGTGAGGGCTCTCATACACTGATGGCAGGCAGCATGGCTAACCCTGTAATTCCACTATGGTAAGTGTATTCCCTATGGGCCTGTCAGGGTACTTTGCTAGGAGAGGTGTAATACACAGAGTCAGAGAGGTTCATCCCATTTTTGTCTTCCAGGGCTTGTCCAGCATCCCTCACATATTTGTCTAGGCAAACAGCTTTCATACAAGCTACCCCTATGTCTTGTTTCTTTCCAGGGAAGGACGAGCCAAATGCCAGAAGCCTAGTCCAGCCAAGGGCCAGAAGAGGAAGCTACCTGAGGAAAAGGAGTCTGGTGCAGAGGAACGTGGTAATATTGATCACAACAAACCCAGAGAATGATTTCCAGCAGTGCCTGGACTGCAGGAAGGAAAAGAAATAGCAACATAGCCCCCTCTGTGGGGAGAGTGGCCTGTGTGGAGTCCTCCCTAAAGAGTGCTGTGTATGGCTTTGAGCCTCTGACTCTTATTCTGGGGCTGATCCACAGGAGACTTCTCACAAGTCACTTGTCATTACTGACGACTCATCAGCTCTCTCAGCCTGGCTCTGCTTTGTAACCATGTATGATAGTAGGCTGTGCTTTCATAACATTTCAATAGTGACGTGAGATTGCAGTGTCACCCATCGCTTTCTTGGTTCTCCTCAGTGTGCCAGCAGTGCAGTGCAGTGTTTGTGCAGCTGGGCTGGGATGCAGATGTGGGAACTGATACTGTTAAAAAAAACAAAAAACAAAATGAAACCAAAACCCAAAACCAACCAAAGCAAAAACCAACAAACCCCAACTTGACTGTTTGTTAGTTTGCTTTTAGGCTTGATCGTTCCTTGCTCTAGTTCGCAGTGATGCTTGCAGTAGCATAACCAAGGAGAGAGGACAGAGCAGGACTGAATACAGTGTAAGGAAAGAAGGAAGCTGGAAAGTGCTAGGACAATCACTTTAAGACAGTATGACTGCAGAAGAGGAATTAGTGCATTTTCTTCCACCATCCTGCGATCAGTGCAGCTGCCAGTAAACCACTGTGAGCTCTGGCTTTCTCTTCCCCCTTCTCATTTTTTTTTCCATTCTTTCTTTTCCCCGCTGTGAGTCAGATTTTGAGAAAGATGAGAATGTGGATGTGAAGGAAGAGAGTAACCCCGTGGTGGTCAGCAGTGGATACCCCTTCTGGGTCTCAGAGCAGAACAGCAGCCATGCCTTTCCTGCAGCATCCCCAGTGCCCGCTGACCAGAGGGAGGGTCTGGCCAGAGAGCAGCAAGTGCCTACGCCATCCTACCAGACATATCGGTGAGTCCCACCTCCTGGTGCTCATGTCCAAAGCCTCACTTCGACTGATGGGATTCCTCCTTTTCTACTGAGTATTCCCTAAGAAAAACACCCAGTGGGAGTGGGGAAGGATGTCTTTCTGTTGGGCAGCATACCTGGGTGATAGGTGCTTAATTAGCATGGAGATAGCTCCACAACAGAGCCTTTTTGTGTTACTTCAAACCCACTGATTCTGGGCATACTCATGCCTTTGTAATGCGTTTTATTTCCTTGTCCTGAAATGCTCTCCCAGCCAGCTCTGTACTGCAGAGCTTGCCTGTCCTTTGGAGGAAGTGTGTTGGAGGAGTGGCAGGACTCCAGTGATTTTCCCCTCCTCCTTATTGTTGCAAATTCAGGCATGAGCTATAGTGAGCCCAGACTAGAACTGAGCCAGAACTCACCTACTCTGGGCTTACCTCCTCTGGCATTAAGGTTTTCTGTGTAAGTGACATCAAGGCTTGGACTAAAATCCATACCACCAGTGAGATGAAGCAGTAAGCAAGGGGAAAAAGGCGTGCTAAAATCTTGCCCTGCCTTTCCCCAGGGGATCTGTGTGGGTTTTCAGTGGTTTCCCACTGCGGTAGGTTTGACTCAGTCTTCTCTCTGCCCTTGGGGCTCAGGTTCCATGAAGCTGGGGACAGCCAGCAGCTTCCCACCCGCGATGCCACAACCTTGAACGACTTCCGGGCAAGGTGCCATGCCTTGGATCTCTCCACAGTGCCTGAGCACGACTCCAAACAGCTCCCAGAGGGCTTCACCAACCTGCCTCCTCTCCCCCCGCCTCTGCCTCCTCCCCAGGACTACACAGGAGTGGTGAACATGGCTCTAGACTCTGTCGGGAAACCCGGGGCCCGAGCACCCATGTACAGTCCCTATGGCACCGAGCAAGGCCTTGGCCAGTGGATGGTGCCTTCCCACAGCCAGTACAGGGCAATGAGCTACTCAGCCTTCTCCACAGAGTACAATACACAGGGGGCTCCGGGACATGCCCATGGGACCATGGCAGAGTGGAGCCAGTACCCTCTGTTCCCCTATGCCTGCTGGTGAACTGGGAGGACCCTTCCCAATAAAAAACTGAAAGAAAACTGTAAATGAGATCAGACCTGCTCTGGGGTGTTGACCTTTTGAAGCCTTGCATACACAAGGCAAAGAGGTATTGCTGCAAGCAGTAGCGTGGGACTTCCTTGTTGCCTTGCTCAACAACCCTTGCTATGTTTCACAAGCAACAGCTAAACTGATGGCTGCCTGGCCATGGCACTGTGGGTCTGGCTGAATAAATGTGTTCTGCAATATTGGGGTGTTTTTCAGCAGGAGTAGGAAACTGCAGGAGCTCCAGAGCAATATTTAAAGAGCTGATGAGCTCTCAGACCCAGCCTGTTTGCATCTCACATTTGGCTGTTTCCAAAATCTCTTCCTCCCAGGACTTATATGCAAGGAGAGAGAGGCTGAAGAGTTTCAGTAAACTGTCCAGGTGGCCAAAAAGCTGTAGAGAATTATTGCAGAGATGAACAAAAGAAGCAATCCTGGTGTCCCCTTGAGCAGTTTCCTCACTTAGTATAGTCAAACTAAAGTTAGAGTCTTGCCTTTCTTCCAGCAGCATACGAGAGTAAAATGCACAGCAGCACCTGTGTGTCTGGAGTGCAGCAGTGGCTCGTGCAGGCAGGGAAGAGTTTGTCCTGTTCAGGAGAAGCAGCAGCAAGGCTGTGTGTTGTGTCTGCATGTCCCCTGTGCCCTCTTCTGTCACCCCTAGATTCGAGGTTAGTGAAACACTTTTCTTTCTGCTGGTGGTGGAGGGAGGTTGTTCAGAGTGTGGGGGGCTGCTCTGGGGGGTTACAAAGGCCTGTGCTGGTCAGGAACAGGGCCACAAACAGCACTGCTGGCTGTGCCTCTCAATCTCTTCCTTTCAAGGGAAAGGATATCTTTCACTGTGACCTTTTCATCCTTCTTCCACCCCCTGCAGCCCCACGAGAATATAATTTATAGTTGTTGTTATTGTGCTACACTCTGAGCAAGCTCTGTCAACAGGCAGTTCTCACCAGCCTGGCATTGCTCATCAGGAATATACTTCAATTAATACCCTGTAGGCACTGAGCTACATGCTGCATTGCTGGTCAGCAGTCATCTTTCACTGTCTGGAGGGTTGTAGGGATCTGCTTCCAGGTTCAGTTGTTAGAGGCGTTTCAGCTCCCTCATCTCTGTGGCCCCATCGTGGGGAGGAGCTGTTCTGCCACTGAGCAGCCTGTATGCTGCCTTGCAAAGAGGATTTATTTTCATCTTCATATTAGAAGGGGGGAGCATCCCTCTTTGCCCAAGTGGCAGAATGGCCCTGGCAATGGGGTCTTGTTTGAGACGGGCTCTTTGCCTCTCAGGGAGAATAGACGCGTTCCTAGGTGTTATTTAGGGGATGTTTTCTTGTAACACTTTAAATAAACTGCTGTGTGGCCTGTAGCCATCAGTAGGCAGTGAGGTGTGTCATTTATCCTGTATGCCAGATGGGTTTCTCTCTGTGTGTGCAGCAAGGTGTGGTCTGTGAGCGGTCCTGCTTGGGTTTGTGACCAGTGCATTCACCAGGAATGGCTGTGTCTGTTTGGGTACCGGGAGGTGTTGAGCCATGTTTGTTATTGTTAAAATGACTTTGAAAAGTAGCCCTACAAATCTGTGAAACTCACCTACAATTACTGCTTTGTTATTTAAATCATACATCGATAACTGCTTTTGTAGCACAATTAAGAGACAGATCAGCCAAATACTTCCCCTCAGCTTCACAGGATGTGAAGATGTGCAGCCTTTGAATAAAGGTCAGGCTTCACCACAGTATATGCATGTAATACCCTATTAGCCTCTCCCCTGGCAGCACCCTGGCCAGTAGTGATTTATACGTGCTGTGCATGACACGTGTGGATACGAGCAACTTGCTAAAAAGAAATCTGGTAGGGGAAAAAATGCAGAGGAGATTGTTTGTAACCCTAGGATATTGTGATTTGCTGCTGTGCAAATGCCAGCAGTGTGAAGGCAGCTCAGCTGTAAAAGCCTGTGGGCTAGAGGAATATTCTGGCCTTGACCATTAGTAGTTCATTTTGCCACTACTGCTCTGCACATCTTGGAAACCAGATGGAAAGGTGGCTGGGGAGTTTGGTGCTTTGAGCCCCATGTGCAGGGGTGGTACTTTCTGCAAGGCAGTTCTGGTACCCTGCCGTGATTGTTGCAAGTGCCATGCTGACAAGAAAGGGGAGAGTAATACATCCCCCCTGGTTAGATCTGTTTCTTTATCTTTGAAGTTGGATTGTATTTCCCTTTGTCACAGGGTACTGATGGGGGTGGAAACCACACTGTGGTAAGAGTAACTGAGGAAAACTGGGCAGCACAGAGAAACTCCTGTGCAAATACGAGTGTCATCTTCTTGTCAAGCCTTCAGAGCAGCCTTGCGAGTGCTGCTGCCCCGTGGGCCTGTTGGTAGAGCTGGTTTGGCAAATGGCTCTGCACCCGGGTAAAAGACTCATCCTTGTGCCTAGGACAAGCTATTAATTATTCATCAGCCTTCTGTTGCAACAGGACTCCTTGCCCTTCCTCAGTGAATCATCTGGCTCATTAGAAAAGTACCTTTGCTTTCCTCGCTCGCCTGTCTCTGGTTAGAGACTGGGGCTTGGCTGCTTTGTGAAGCCTTTGGAAATCTTGCCTGTAGGTGTGTGCTCTGGACTCTGCTGCCGCCTCCTCTCTCTGCAGTTCCCACTGTCTTGTTGTCTTCAGCTGTGGCATTTAAAACTCTGTATGAGCTCGACTGAAACGCTGGTTTTGCACGCATGTGAGATAATGTAATGCCTCTGACAGCTCCAATAAAAGGAGATGAGACACGCGGAAGGCAGGCCATTAAGAGCAATAAAATAAACTCCAAAGTGTGTTTTCTGTGCATCTGTTTCGAGCACACCAGTGGCTCCCCTTTAGTCATGCTACCTGAGGCCAGTTTGTACACGCATGACATGCTGTTGATCTCAGTGTTCATTGTTCTCAGTGTATTCAGTGAGCCCCAGGTTATCTGCTTGCATCGCTAGATGTGACTCAGACTCTTGCACTAATTCTTTGCAGCAAATTGTTTATTTTCTCTGTGTTTTCTGCTCCTCTCCTGCAGAGGAGTTACATAAGGATGAGGGCAAATGATCTATAAATGGGATCTAGGTAAATTTCCTATGGGAAATAAAGATCCTGGTTTATTTCTGTTTTTCCTAATGGTTTTTGCAGCCTTAAGCCTTGTCTGACACTGCTTTGGTCCAGATGGGAATGGCAGGAAAATGCTCTTTGCCGTTGCTGCAGTTCTTCCACAGACAGCCACATCCCAGAGCAGCTGCAGGCTCAGGAGAGGCACCTGTGACGCTGTTTCCCTGCAGCACAGCAAAACACCCACCTTTCCCTCTGCTTAAAAGATATGGCAAATCCTCTTGGGGGTCAGGAGCCCTCTCGCCTGGCCCAGGATGTGGTCTCTGCTCTTGTAGCCACCGGGTCACCCTCTGGTTCTGCTGGAGAAGCCACCAGCTGGTTTCACTAAGAGTTATCTGTTTCCCAGGTGCTGGGGTGTGCTCAGCTGCTGAAAGTCAGCCTCACTGCCTGGTGCCATCAGAGCACTCTGGGAGGGAGCACCGCTCTCTGGCACCTTCTGCAGCGCCTGGTGTCAGCAGCAAGTGCTCATGTGTGCGGTGTGGGGCAGGGTCTGCTTGTCCCCACGGGAGCTCAGTGGGGCCCTGGGAAGCCTCTTGCCTGCAGAGAGGGGTGAGGATGTTCTGAAGAGCAGTGTTTCCAGGCCCAAGTGGGCTGGGGCACTTGAATTGCCTTGTAACTGGACAGCCAGGCTGAGCTGGACTCGTTGCTTCCTTTGGATTGACTTGATTGCCCAGCATGGGGGTGCCTGTTGTTTGGTCTTTGGTGAGCCTCCCAGGAGACTCCTGCAGTGCATTTCCTTGGCTAACATATGTACTGGGTCATCTTAAGCAAATCCAAGCAAGCAGTGCAAACCCCCTTCCAGGAATAACAACATTCTTCAGGTCAAATGGGTTTTTATTGCAGAGCTTAAAAGCCACTTAATTCCTGAGCCCCAGGTTGGGATCCCATAAGGAGCCTCTTAGCAGGGGGGATGCAGCATTTGGCTGACAACAGCAAACAGCAGCCTCCTGCCGTGTGGGGCTGGACCAGCACGAAGCCAAATACCTCCTGCCTGGGAGCTGCAGCAGCTGCCAGCCCCTCTCCTCGCTCATCAGCGGCCAAATGTGTGGGTGCAGGTGGCTTCACTGACCTGCTTGCACCCCCCAGACTCTATTTGCCTTGTAAAGGACCAGGAGCAGAGAGGGGGTGAGACTGTGGGGCCAGCTGGGGAAGGGGGACAAAGGGTTTGCCCCAGAGTGTGGGGATGGGGGTGCTCTGTTGCACTTTCCCCCTGTGCTGCGGGTGATGCTGCCCAAAGCCCACGCAGAGGCTGGCTGGGCCCCTGCGGTGCACAGGGGCACTGCTGTGCTGCGGGTTGGTTGTGGCTGTGCAGGCTGTGCCTGTTTCTGCCTGTTTCCCCAGGGCTCTCGGTTCCCCTGGCTGCGAGGAGCAGGTGTGCTGATGGCCTGCGGCCCGGCGGCTCCAGGTAAGCTGCTCTCACTGTCGTGCTTTGCAGGGATGTGCTAGGGTTTACGTGTGGCTTCGAGACATTGCAGCAAACCTGAGCAAGAGGAGCGCAGGGAGGGTAACACAGCTGCTTGCAGGCTCAGAGGATGGAGTGAAGAGAGTGGGGAAAGCGTTTCTCCTCTGCAGCCCCTGCTCCTCCCAGCACACGGTGTGAGCTGCCCAGACTCCAGGGCTCCAGGCCTGCCCCGGTGTCAGACATTTTAACCAAGGCTGCAGCAATCCTTCAGTGCAGGGGTGAGGAGAGGAGCTGCAGCTGTGAGGAACAGGCTTGCTGCTCAGCTTGGGTTAGCACTGCTCCTTTCTTGTTTTTCCAAGTCCTGTGCGTGTGGTTTATGGCATGAAGTGCTTTGCTGTAGGGGGCTGGCTTGCCTCTGACACTTCTGTAATACTCCATTTGTTTCCTTTGGATGTGCAGGTGTACAACTACAGTGTTCCTGTCCAGACAGCGCCCTGCTTGGTGAGTGTAATGGATGGATTTCATTTCCATCTCCTACAGTTCTTTGGGGACATGCTGAGATTTTCATTTCTTCCTCTCCTGTTTTTATTGAAGACGGAAAATTTTGTGCCTCCACAAAGGCGAATGGGAGTAGGTGGCTCACGCTACAGGACAGGCACACCATCAGTCATGCAGCCAGGCATGGAGCATTGCTCAGTTTTGGTATCTCTGCCTCTCATTGGACAATAAGACTGTACATGTAAAACACAGCAGCTGGCATGTGGGCTCTCTCTGTGCAGCATCCTTGCTGGGAGATGGTGCATTAAGGGTAGATCTGTGTGGAAATGGTGGTGCAGAGTAGAAGGGGATGAGTCAGGCCTGATTTCTGTCACACCATGGGGTCCATTCCCATTGCTGGCTCTGTTCATGCTGGACAGACAGCCCTCTGCTCGCCCACAATCTGGTTTTGGCTCTGATTTACCGTCTAGAAGGGGCCCTGTGGAGACAGAGCTGTCCAGAGCAGCTCAGGCACTACCCAGCAGCATGCAGGTGAAGGGAGGTGAGGATTGCTGCAGACCAGGTAAGTGTAAGTCAGCCCTCCTGCATCCTTCTGGGCATCCCCAGTCAGTGAACAATGGAGCAGTGGAGGGGATGTGTTCAAAACTGCCCTGTTTACCAGGGCTATGCTGAGCACTGCGCTGGCACAGGGTGAATGACACCAATGTGCTCCCTGTAGAGCCCCTGGGGACACAGGGGCATTTTGAAAATCACGGATGAGAAAGCTATGCCAGGACAGGAGTTTCTCAACTCCTCAGGCTGGGCTGGCAGTCCGGTGTGGAGCCCTGCCGCATGGGTCTCATCCCTGGCTTCATCCTGCCCCTATGTCTGTTAATGGCCCTGTCCTGCCTCCATCCTCAGGGATTAATTGCTTCACACTTGAGCAAATGTGCTTGGTGTTTAAAAAGAGTCTATCGATTTGTGCGTATTCCTGAAAGCCTCTCAGGGCCCCGCTCCCTTTGAAGTGTAAAAGCATCTGTCTGCCTCTGCTTCTCCAGCAGTCTCCTGCACCATTTGCATCCCCTCTCAGGGGCAGTGGGGGGGGAATCCAGCCCTGACCGCATGCAGCGCTCTGGTTTCAGGCTGCTGAGGGGGCTCCCTGCACGGGGGACCAGACTTGGAGACAGAGGTGCAAAGCTTCAGTCTAGGCAGGGGGTTGAACTTAGCATGCTCAGGATGGAGCCATTTCTGAAGGGCAGTTTCCAGTGCTCCAGTCTTTGGGAGTGCTTTTGCTGCATGCTTATCTGGGGTGGGTGCATTGATTAGGAAGGAGAGGAAACAGCCCCTGGCTTCTTCTCACCATGGTACTTGGCCAGACAGCACTGGTTGATAAGGAAGTAAGATCAGACCTGGGCTGCTTTGGCTAATCCACCGTCCAGGAGCTGAACTGCATGAGGTGACCAGAAC